AGGTAGAGACTTTCACGTTCCTTTGGGTCAATAAGACGGACAAACTTTGAACCGCGTATTTGACAGAACATGTTGTGACGAGGATCGGTGTGGAGGGGAGAGACTTTAAAATAAATTATTAAAGAAATTCTGATTTTTTAAAAATTAATTCTGATATTAATTCTGAATTTTTTTAATTAATTCTGATTAAAATTCTGATTTTTAAAAATTAATTCTGATTTAAATTCTGATTTTTAAAAATTAATTCTGATTTTAAATTTATTTATTCTGAAACTTATTTAGGAATCAGAAATTTCGATAAATAAACTTGGAATCAGAATTCTGATAATAAAACTTGATAGAATTCTTTTTTTAATTTTAAAATGTTTATTGAATTCTGATTTTATGTAAATTGTTCCCAAGTTTTAATTTAATGTTATTAATTCTGATTTTAATATTTATTTGTTCTGATTTTATACTTAAGATTTTAATAGAAATTCTTAGGGTTGCGCCCCGACCCCGACTAACCCCGACCCCGACCCCGAACCCCGACACTTTTTGACCTAAAACCCCGACCCCGACCCCGACATTCCCAACCCCGAAAACCCCGACCCCCGAAAGTTCGACCCCGACGACCCCGAACCCCGAAAAATTTTTATGACCCCGACTCAAACTGCATTAATTAACTAGAGATCGGAACGGGATCGGGACTTTGATGTTAAATATATGAAGGAAAAGGGAAATGAATATTTATATTTTCTCCTGTTTCCTTTTGTTGGTCGGTGGGCGAGTGGTTAGGTTAACTGACTTCACCCATCTAGCTATTTTGATAGGTATGGTGTTCGAATGCATCGATTGAAATGAGACTGAGAAAATTTTTCTTCTCAAAAATAAATATTTTTAAACTTTGATCTTGATTTTAAATATGCAAATTTATTTTTTTTAATATTTTAAACTTGAAAAAATTTTAGAAATTTTAAACTAGTCATGAATTTTCCAAAATTTTCACCTGTGGCGTAGAAAATGGAAGAAATCTGTCTCTTGGCCTTCCTAAATTCTAAAAATTTTCGCCTGCGGCGCAGAAAATGGAAGAGATCTGGCTCTTGACCTTCCAAAATTCTCAAAATTTTTGCCTGCGGCGCTAAACTCAATGAAGGGATACAGAGGCTTTAGGAGAAATTGATGGATAGATGGATTTCTCCAGTTATACTTGCAAATCCCCGATATCCCTTCAAATCCCTCTAAATCCCATTATATCCATCTTAATCCTCTGATATGCCTTCATATCCCCTCACTCCCTTTAAGAGGGGGAGTAAGAGTTACCTTGTGGGTTTGGGGATTTTGGGGATTATGAAGGATAACTTGGATAAAGTACTTCTTGCGCCTTCAACTAATAACGAATTAGATTTAGAAAGTGAAGATAATGAAGATTAAGTTGATTTTTTAATAAAAATGTTGATTTTGCACAGTAATATTGGATAAAAATGCTGGATTTTGTAAATTTTCACTTCAACCCCGACCCCCGACCCCGACCCCGAACCCCGACATGATTTTCAGCCCCGACCCCGACCCCGAACAATTTGAGCAACCCCGACCCCGACCCCCGACTTTTTCAACCCCGAAGGCTCGGGGCGCAACCCTAGAAATTCTGGTTCCAAGTTGTAATAAAAATTCTGATTTTAAATTCAGCCCTAATTTAACTAAAATTCTGATTTCAAGTTTATTTGTTCTGGTTTCGGATTTTTTTATTAATTCTGATTTCAAGTTTATTTAAACTTTACCAGTCCCTTCAGGCCCAATAAAAACATTAATTGTAAATTCTGATTTTTCTTTTTCTTCCTCCTCTCCAAAAGAACAATATTCTGGTATAATTAAATCATTAATTAATTCTGGTATTTGGTCTAATAATCTGTGCTGGGCTAAATAACCAATTTTTAAATTTTTCTCTTCTTTTTGTTTTTGTGGGGGGAAAATATATTTAATTAAATATTCATTAAATTTAATTATTTTTTGTTCCCAATCTTCGTCTGTATATTTATTTCCTAGTTCAACAGGTACTAGGCGGTGACCGCAAATTGAATTGAGGTAGGAAAAACTGGAAAATTAATGAATTAAATTTTTTGAAAAATTGAAAAAAAATTTTTTGAATATTTTTTTTGAATAAAAAAATTTTTTTTATTTTACTTTTCTGCCCAAAAAATTTTTTTAATTTTTTGAAAATTAAAAATTTTTCTTAATAAAAATTTAAAAATTTTAATTTTTTTTCTTTTCCACCCAAAAAAAAATTTAAAAATTTTTTTTTCCAAATTTAATTTTTTAAATTTATTTTTCTACATTTTTTTTAATTTTAAGAGCAAAATCGGGAGTATATATTTTATTTAAAAAATTTAATTTTGATTTAAATTTATAGGTACTTTTTGATTAATATGTATTCTAGTAAAAAGTTCGAAAATCTTTAACCTGAATTTTTTCCAAGAAAAAATTTAATAAAATCTTAAACCGAAAAGTACCTAATTATAATTTTAATAAAAAATATTTTTTGAGTAAAGAAAAAAAGAAAAGATTAAAAGTCAATCCTTGATAAGTAAAATTTTTACAAAAGATTTTATATCATAAAATGGAAGCAGATATCTCAAGAGAGAGAGTTGACAGAAATTGGTAAAATTTAGTAAAAATTGAATATCAATATTACATGGAATTTGAACTTTAAATTGTCGGGCCTCGGATTTTTTCTTTTAAACTCAGCGGGCTGGGATTTTCCACGTTAAACCCTCAAAAAACACCAGATCTATTCGAAAATACCCCGTATCCGTGTTATAAAGAACCTTGCCCTAGTCCTGAGTTCAAACTCAAATTAATACTTGAAATATACTCCGTTTAAAGAATAAGTGAGTGGATTAAATATGTGTGAGGATAAAAAATTAATAAAATGAGTTATGCAAGAAGGGTATATAAGAATTAGTAGATTATACGATAATAAATTTAAATTGAATAGTTCGAACCTCACTATAATTTACATTAAATAACACACTTTTGTTTAAAAATTATGCTGAATAAGCTATACTCTCTATTTTAGACACAGCTCAGTACAGGTCTAGTAGTAATTATTAGACCTCGAAGACTGTTGGTCTTGAGTTTTGATTCCAAAACTTTTTCTAGAGTTTTTAATGGTCTTGTCTTGGGTCCTAGAAACTTTTCGGTCTTGGACCTCACTAGCTAGTAATTATCATTAACGTTCGGACTTGGTCCGGCACTTGTGTTAGACCATTATCGATTGTCCTTTATTATTCCTACATTTTTTCTGACACTAAAATGATGATACTTCATGTGTTATTCTTTAAGTCCTAAAATTCCCCCTCAATTACAAGGACAATTTTTTCGACCCTAAGATTGTATCTTATAGTGAGGTTCGATTGTATTTTTAAACGGAAAAAAAGAAATTTAAAACAAATTCAATCCACCCCACTCAACCGTTGCCGAATTCCTTGTAGACGAATTTCCACCACTCCTTGGTTTTGAGGTGAAATACAAAAACTAAAAAAATTTTATAAAAAAAATTTTTCTTAGTCATTAATTTAAAAATTAATTTACTCAATTCCATTATTTGATAAAAATTTTTGAAGTTTTTGACGTATAACTGAAAGATGACCACTTGTACTTCCATAACCGGTAATTACATGAAGTTTGCGTAAATTAGGCATTGTTTCTTTAAAATTAAGAAATGTTTGAAAGGAAGGAAAAAAGTCAAGGATAGGCAAAAAAGATAGTGATGTTCGGGAGAAGAAAAACCCCCGGGAAACGGGAGTCGGGTCGGGAAATGACCTCGGGAGTAGGGAGGCCAAAAACTAGGGAAAATTTCCCAACTCGGGAATCGGGATAAACAAATATCACTACAACAGGATGCCTATCAATACCCACAAGCTATTTCAGAAATATACTAACTACAAGTAAAAATAAAAGATACTTTAAATCGTATCAAAATTAAACAAAGTAGAATTTTTGCGAGCTTTATAAAACTACTTTAATTCGACTTTTATAAGCTTTGGAATAGGAAAGGTGATACTGAAAACATGGCCTGAGTCATGGGTCCTTTTTCAAAATACTAAAATAGAGCAAAATGTGGCAATAGAGAAAAATTGGGCACAAATAGGTAAAAAGAGTTACCACGATTTAACTACTGAAAATAGAAAGGAGAAAAATAGAAAAGTTGAATGAACCCCTTATATTGTGTCACTTTTGCATGATTATTGCTTGCGGTTTTTGGGAGGATAATGAGCGGGAAAGGAAATTAACAACAACAAACACAATCCTCACCTCTACACAAATCAATTTTATATTTAACAAATTCAACAGCCCTTTTCCAATTCATTCCATGTAAATCTATAAAACAATCATTTGGACAATTCCAAGCATTTAAACGGTCATTTTGGTAGGTTAAACGTAGTTGTTCTTGATGAAGTGTTCCCGCCTTTAAATTTAAAAAATAAAAAAATTTTTCCGAATTATTCTCTGTTAATTTTCAAAGGTTTTGAATTTAAAAAAATTAAAAAATAAAATTTAATTAAATAATAATTTCGAAAAAGCATTAATATTGAAAAATAGGGGGGAGGGGGGTCGTGGGTTCGAACCCGCTTAGGGCCCCTTATTTTTAAAGTTATCCAAAATTATTCTAAAATTATTTTAAATCTTTTAAAAATATTCTTAAGTGTTTTTTATGCCCGATAGACTTTACTTTTGGAAAAAAAATAATTTTGAGATCAATTATTGAAAGTTAGGGGGTCATGGGTTCGAGTCCGCCCGGCGCCTTTTAATTTTTTATAATCAGAAACTTAAAAAAAATTTTTTTTGAATTTATTATAAGCTTAATTATTAATATAATAATTTAATTTAAACTAATTTTTAAATTTTAGTTAAAAACCCGAGCTGGCCTGGGGGTTTCAGGAATGACCCGGGTTGGGGTTTTAAAGCCCAAAAAATCCGGTCCTGGGCCCAGTGTCTTATTAAGTATTTTACAGAAAAAATTAATTGTCGTTTAAATTTACCCTTCTCATATAATGTCCACACAAAGCACCGCCGTGAGGCTTTCCTCTAACTTGGTTTGCCATAGAAAGGCAGTGACGACGTTCAAAATCTAGTTGTTCGAGTAATTGACTTATTGTTTGTAAAGAATCGTTGAAATTAAGTGAAGGAGACTTGAAAAATGAAAAAATTTTGGGTCTGAAAATTATTTTAAAAATTCCAAAAAATTTTTTCAAATTTTTTTATTATTAAAGATTTTCCCCTCACCAAATCCTCCAACTTCCCCCCATCCGCGCCCTTCTTATTAGGAGGAGGGGCTCCATACGGAATAATTATATTGGGATTTTTTGAGGGCACAATTATATTAATTGAATTTTGTTGTTCTTCCAATTGTTCTTCTGTTGAAATTAAATCCAATTTTGCATCAAAACTTTCAGAAATATTTAATAAACAATTTGCAGTTAATTCAAAATTATAACTAGGGAAAAATTAAAGAATATTCTGATTTTAATAAAATAAACTTGAAAGTTTAAACTTGGAAATAAACTTGAAAATCAGAAATTTCAAGTTTATTTTTTAATTAAAATTCTGATTTCAAGCTTATTTAATAAAAATTCTGAAAATAAAATTTTATTTAAAAAATCAGAATAAGTTTATTTAAAATTCTGATTCAAGTTTATTTTTCCAAGTTTATTTAAATAAAAAATTCTGATTTCGAATTTAGTTTCAATTAAAATCAGAATTTTTCTTAATAACACTCAGAAGCAAGTTTATTTATTTCTGATTTTTTTACCCATTCTCCTTAGCAAAATGTTTAATTGTTTTGGGAGGAACATCAGGAAAAACCTCATATAAAGTAGTTAAAGCAGACAATTTAATTAGAGCATTATTATTAGTCGGTACAAGTTTTTTCTTTTGAGTTTTAGTTGGAATAACTGAAAAAAAAAATAAATTTTAGTTTTATAGGGAAAATTAATTTTTAAAAAAATTAAAAAATACAACAAAACAAAAATTTTAAAAAACTTGCAATTTTTATTTTTAAATTACACTAAAAAATTTATTAAATTCTGATATCAAATTTATTTTTTAAATTAATTCTGGTTCGTTTTAAATTAATTATTCTGATTTTATTGTTTAATTAAATTCTGTCAAGTTTATTTAATTCAGAATTTTTAATTAAAATTATTTTAAACACAAATTCTGGTTTTGTAGAAATTTTGATTATATTCAAGTTTTAATTGAGTTTATTTTTCAAGTTTAATTAAAATTCTGATTTTTAATTTTTTTAATTCTGATTTTAAAAATTCTGATTTAATTCAAGTTTATTTTTAAAATTCTGATTTTTTACCTTCTTCTTCCCCCTCAATTATCTTCTCATTAGGAATAGAAACCCCAAAATGTATTGCCTTATAAAACATTTCACATAACCACAAAGGTATTTCAATTTCATTATTTAATAATTCATTTTCTTTTTCTTCCTCATCATTTTCCTCTTCTTCATCAAATAATTGTCCAATTTTTTTAATAAATTTTTTTGTTAATTTTAATTTAATTATTTTCTTTGTTTTGTTCTTTTCTTCATTATTTTGAGAGGATTCGAATACTTTATTTATTGGATTTTCATTTTTATTTATTAAATCTTCATAGGTTTTAGAGGGAGAAATAAGTTGAGAATTCTGATGTAGACGGTGCTGAAAAATTAAAAGTTAATTAATAATTAAAATTCTGATTCCAAGTTTATTTAAAATTCTGTTTTTTCAGAATTAATTATAAATTAAATCAGAATTTTAATTAAACTTGAAATCAGAATTAATTTAATTTAAACTTGAAATTAAATTCTGATTTTTATTTATTTATTCTGATTTTATTTTAACCAATTTCTAGGCTCAGAATTTTTCAGAAAAAAAATCAGAATTTTTTTCAGAATATTTCCAAAAAAACAGAATTTTTCAAAAAAAAAATCAGAATTTTTTTCAGAATATTTCCAGAAGAAATCAGAATTTTTCAGAAAAAAATCAGAATTTTTTCGAAATATTTCCAGAAAAAATCAGAATATTTTTCAGAATTTTTCAGAAAAAAATCAGAATTTTTTTCAGAATTTTTCAGAAAAAAACATCAGAAAAAAATCAGAATTTTTTTTCAGAATAATTCCAGAAAAATCAGAATTTTTTTCAGAATTTTTACCAAAAAACTGCTAGTATTCTCCCCATCCTCATTATTAACTTCCAACAAAATTTCCTCTCCATTATTTATTTTATTTTCATTATTTTCTTCACCAATTTTTTCTTCTTCCTCTTTTCTTTTTGTAGCCAAAAAATGTTCGTTGTTTTTAGCAGCGGCCAAAATTGCTTGGCCAATTTCTTCGCAGTTGAATAAATTTTTTTGCATTTTTTGAAGAGAAATATTTTTTTGAAAAAATTTTTTAATTAAATTTAAAAATTAACTGGAAATAAAAAATAAATATTAAATTGAATTATAAATAAAATAAAAATTCAAAAAAAATATGTACAAGAAAACGCGAAATTGGGCTTTTTTGGGGGATGAAAAGAAGAGGGAAGGAAGGAAGGGGAGGAAAGGGGTGAGGGGGTTACAATCAAGGGGATTATATGCCGTAACAAATTTTAAATAACGAGGGCGAAACTTAATTAGAAAACGAAAGTCGAAAAAAACAGAAAAGGCGACGGAAAACGGCATAAACTTTGCTACAGTCCATCCCCTCAATTTACTCCTTTGGATAAACTCTTAATCAGCACAATATTTTAAAAAAAAATAAAAATATTAAAATAAATAAAATGAATAAAAAATACATAAGAAAAAGAACAGCAAGAATAAAAAAGCATTAAGAAAATAATAAAAAATGGTGGGGGGGGGGGGGGGGGGGTTTAATAAAGATAAAAATAAAAGATACAAAGAATTTTACAATAATTACATAAAAAAATTATTTATTTATTTTTGGATTTTTAAAATTTTTTTTTAATTTTAAAAATTATTGGGAAATTTTTTATTTTAAAATATTTAAAATAAATCTCTTCTCAAAAATTTTTCAAAAAAAAATTTTTTTAATTAAAAGTTTTCCTTTAGGATTTTTAAAAATTTTTTGGAATTTTTTTTAATTTTAAAATTTTCTTTAATTAAAATTTATTTTTTTCTCAAAAATTTTTCAACAAAAATTACTTTTTTTACCTCCATTTTTCAAAAGCAGGCCATCCATTTACCATTCCATTAATTATTAAAGGTAATCCAGGCAAATAATTATTTTTGTAGAAACATTCAAGTGAGGGAAGTTGCTCTATTTGGATTGGTAAAGAGTTGGATAGAGGTGGTGGAGGTGTTGTTAGCTTTGAAAAGAATTTTTGGTTAACAGAAAGGGAAAATTTTATTAGTTTTACTGTTATATTCCCAAAGTCCGCAAATTTTGTCCGCAAAAACTCAATTGACTTCAAAGTTGAGTATTTAATTTTTAACAGTCTAATACACCAGGGATGAACCGGGAAATAGTCGGGACGGGTTTAAAAATTACTTCAAATCTCTTTCCGGATCGAAAAATTCTGGGTCTTAGATTTCGGGAAGGTCGACAGACCCTTACATAAGAACCACTTCAGAAAATAAACATTCAGGCTAGAAAGCAGTATAAAATTTGCGGACAAAAAAATTTGCGGACAACCCAAAAAACCAATGAAAAAATTTTTTAAAAAATATTAAAAATAAAAGAAAAACCTTTTGATTATTTTGTGTAAATAATTCAGGCGGTGGAGGGAGAAAATAACGGCAAAGGTGGGAAGCAAATTCTGAAAGGCTCTCATCCTCCAAATCATGGCCTTTAAGTAATCCTTCATCACAGAAACGTAAAGAGGACTTTAACAAAAAAGGGTTTTAATCAAGAAAAAAAATTTTTAATTTTTTGAAAATTTTTTTAAAAAATGTCCAAAAGGGTCAGAACAAAAAAGGTTCAAAAAAGGTTTTTTATTCTCGAATAAATGCTTAAATAAATTCAAAATCAAGTCAGAAACGATTAATTTTAATTAAAAATAAAATATTATGGGTCTAAAATAAATTTAAAAAATAATTCCCCCGAGCGGGTTCGAACCCATGACCCCCTTTAATTTAAAAATAATTGTCATTTTAATCAGATAAAATTTTAAAATAAAAAATACCAAATAATCTTCACGTAAAAAATCCACTTTAGCCATAAGTGCACACAAAAAAGAATAAAATAAACGCAAACGATCAGGCACATTGGAGTAATGTCCAGTATTTAACCAGGAATCACAAAGGCGTTCTAATCGATAAATATTTAAACGAAGCGAATTTAGAGATTCTTTTGAAGGGATTTCTTTAAAAAAAAGTAAAAATTAAATTTAAAAAAATTAATTGGGGAGAAAAAAAATTAAAAAATAAACGGAGGGGGTGGAGGTTCGAACCCGCTCAGAGAAAATATTTTTTAAAAAGACTTTCTTAATAATAACCGGGTAAAAATAAATTATATCGACAGTTTTTTAAGTTAAAAATTGAAAAGAGAAAAAAATAGAAAGCCAAAAACTTAAAAATAAGCTCACCCAGGGGGTAGAGGTTCGAACCCGCTCGGGGCCCTTAAATATAAATTTACCCAAAATTTCACTAAAAATACGCCCATAATCTTTAAAAATAGTTTTAAAAATTAAAAAAACCTTCACTCTTTCCATTTGCCAATTTATCCAATTCTTTAGCCATTTCAACAGCTACATTCATTATAGGCAAGCCATTAAAGTGTTTTAACAAAATTGGATGGAATTCAGCCAAATTACTTAAATTGCCTAAGGGCATTGAATTTTCTGGAAGATCAGACATGCTCAACTTCTAAAAATTATATAAGAAAAAAATCTGGAACAAAAATGTGCAAAAATCTGCAAAAATCGAAAAAAATCGTAAAATTAAACCACTTAACCACAAGTACAAAAAGTGCCGTTAAGGGCTAAAATGATGAAAAATACAAATTAAAAGAAAAAGAAAATTTTTAAAAAATATTTCGAAGCTATTAATTATTTTATAAAGCGTTTTATAATTGTTAGAAATGCTAAAAATCCAACGCATAACGAAAACAAATAAAAAATAAAAAAAATATGTGGGAGTGCCAAGCAGCTGATTAAATTTATTTTGGGGAAGAAAATGCAAAACTTTTATTAAATTACATCAGCCAAATGTAAAATTTACGGGGAATTTTAACCTTGAAAAAAAATTTTGGGGGGAATACACGTGATTTTGAATTCACGGTCAAATTTTTTAAGAAAGGGGGACGTTTCAGTATAGGCAAGTCAATATAGAGGCCATATTTTGGGCCATAACTTTTTTGATTATCAACCGATTAAAATAATTTTTATATCAATCGAAAGCTCTAAATGTGTTGATTATTTTAGCTAACGGGATTGATTTGATCAGAGAATTCTACAAAAAGTTACAGCCGAATTTATTCGAAAATCATGATTGCGCGCACTTATACAGATATAACTTTTTGTAGGAGCGTCTAATAAAAATGATCCCGTTGGCTAAAATAATCCCCAAATCCAGAGCTTTCGATTGATATAATAATTATTTAAATCGGTTAAAAATCAAAAAAGTTATGGCCGAAATATGGCTTTATATGTACTGAATCGGTGATACTGAATCGTCCCCCACCCAATATTTTTTATTTTTATTCCGTTTGAGTCTTAAATTTTTTCTTTTCCCGGCAAAATGGATTTTTCCGGACCCGGGTCAGGATTCCGATTTGTGACCTGAACCGTACAGGATCAGGCCGAATTTTTTCCGGATTAATTCGGGCTCCGGAAAAATCCGCCCGGATCCGGTCCGACGCCGGGCACTATGTTTACACATTTAATGTAATTCTGTTTTTCTTTTATTTTTCAGGTTTATTTTAGAGATTCTGATTTTTTATTTTAGAAAATGCGTGGCTTTTTATTTATTAAATGTTCTGCTTTTAATTGCTCAATTTTACAGCGACGATTATTTTCTGATTTTATTTTGAATAGAAGAGCCAATAATAATGTTTTTTCACCCTATTATTTTCTTCAAATGTCAAAAAATGTGAATAAAATTCGTAAGAAATTTTTTTATTTAAGGTTTAGTTAATTTTATTTTAAATTAAAAGGTTAAAAAAGCGTTCTTGGGGGGTCGTGGGTTCGAACCCGCTCGAGGCCCGTTATTTTTAGAATCGGGTTAAAATTATTTTAACTATTCTAGAAGCATTTTTAAATGTGTTTGAGCCAAATAGACTTGCTTTAACAAAAAATAATTGTGACAATAAGATTATATTGAAAATGGGGGGTCGTGGGTTCGAACCCGCTCGAGGCCCTTTATTTTTAAAATTAACCAAATGTTCTCAAAACCCCTTTAGGTCTTGGGTTGAGTATATTTGGGGCCTTTTTATTTTTTAATCCTCTAAATCCGTTCTTATACCTTTTTAGAATCCAGAGGTATTCGTGGAAGAGCTAAAGGAGGTTTTGGTTCTTCTACCTCCTCATCAGACAACAAATCCTCAGAAAAGGAAAATAAAAAGGACGAAGAGGAGGATAAATATAAACAATTTGCTGGGGACAAGGAAAAATTCAAGGAAGAATTTCTCAAAAGATTTCAAGAATTTGTGCAGGAAAATGTAAAGAATATTGCTAAAGATCCTTCAAAAGCTAAAATGATGAATGAAGCTACTCTTGAATTTATTAAAAAATTTAATGAAAAAAGTGAAGGTTCTGGTTTGTCTATTGAAAAGGATGATTCTACAGGTTTATTTTTTAATTTCTAAATTAAATTTGTAGAGTTTTCGGGGGAGGAGATGTTGGAAGGAGGGGGAGGGGGGTCGTTGGTTCGACCTCTCTTGATGCCCTTTTATTTTTAGAAATAAGCTAAAATTTTTTCAATGTTTTGGAAATATTTTTAAGTGTTTTTTTGAAGTGGTTAACTATAGTTTTTACAAAAAAATGATTTGAGGACTCAATTAGAGAGAATATGGATTAGTGATGGAGGTCGTGGGTTCGACCCCGTTCGGGGCCCTTTATTAATTTTTAAATTGATAAAAATAACATTTGACTGTAAAAGCTAGTTTGTTGTAATTTAAAAATCTACTAATTTTTTAATACTAAAATCCCTTAAAAATGAAGAAAAAATATGAAAAGATGGGGGGGGGGGGGTCGTGGGTTCGACCCCGCTCGGGGCCCTTATTTTTTAAATTGGAGATAAAATTATTTTAAACCTTCCAAATTATTTTTTAAATTTTTTAGTCAAAAATTTCTTCATGTTTAACCTCATTCTCGCTGCAATTTCTGCCTTTTTTATGATGTCCATAATTTCTGCGGAAAGCATGTCTAGAGAACATTTGGAATTAATTAATACAGAAAGTAAAATTAATTTTGATCAATTTGTGAGGGATTATTTGAATGTTGGAGAGGTTTGATTTATTTTTAAATATGCCGTAAATGCTCTAATAAAAGCCCTGGGTTTAAATTTTCTAATAGCTCATGTCTATATTAGATATAGGCTTCTATTGGAGAGTGGGCTTCTATTAGAGAGGGGGCTTATATTTTTCGATGGATCTCCTCTTGTGGACTTATATTTATTGGAGATAGGCTTCTAATAGAGCGTTTTTGGTGTTCTAAAAATTTTTAAAAATTATTTTTTGAAGGTTCAAACAATTTATTTTTACCCAAACAAGGAATTGGCTATTGCCACATTACACCCAAACGCTGTAATTAATGGAAAAACGGTTTGTTTAGATTTTTGATTAAATTTGAATTTATTTTGGGTTTATAATGAGAAATTTAAGTTAATTTGACAATTTCTTACAAATAAAAAATTATTGACCCCCGAGCGGGTTCGAACCCATGACCCCCCCCCCCCCCCCCGACAAATGGCAATATATTTTTAAGTGAATTAAAAGGCTTAAATGAATATTAGAATTAATTTAAATTGTCTTTTTTTGATATAGAAATCGCTATTTAATCTTTTAGTGGATCTAAAAAAATAATCGGCCCCAAGCGGGTTCGAACCCGTGACCCCCCCCCTTCTACTAAAAAATTTCTTTTCTAATTTTTTAAAGATATCCTCACATGGAGTGCCCATTTCAACCTCGGATAGACTGGATTTTAATTATAGTCCAACACAATTTGTTCACGCCGTTCGCGATGCTGAACAGAAATTAGGCGTTGACCAGAGAGAAAATGTTCCAATACTTGTTAAACATACAATCCCCACTGGAAGGTTTTTTAATTAAAGAAAATTAATTTAAAAAATTTTTTTTCAGAAAAATTATATATTTTTTGATATTGGGATTACTCTCTATTGTTTCTTTAAATTACTACAGAGGTAAAATGGGCAAAGACGCTTTCCGAGTTATTTCCTCTGCAGCTAAAAAGAAGGAAGGGAAATAGAAGAGAGAGAAAGTTTAATTTTATTTAGTTGTTTCAGAATTTAAAAATTCTGGTTTTTAATTTTATTTAAATAAATTCTGATTTAAACTTGTGTTTTTTTTGGTTTGGAAAAATTCTGGTTTTGAGAGAATTCTGATAATATTCAAGTTTTTACCTAATATGTTTAAACATTAATGTAATTCTGTTTTTCTTTATTTTTCAGGTTTATTTTAGAGATTCTGATTTTTTATTTTAGAAAATGCGTGGCTTTTTATTTATTAAATGTTCTGCTTTTAATTGCTCAATTTTACAGCGACGATTATTTTCTGATTTTATTTTGAATAGAAGAGCCAATAATAATGTTTTTTCACCCAATTACTTTCTTCAAATGTCAAAATATGTGAATAAAATTCGTAAGAAATTTTTTTCTTTAAAATTTAGTTAATTTTATTTTTAATTAAGAGAACAAAAAAGCGTTCTTGGGGGTCGTGGGTTCGAACCCGCCCGAGGCCCGTTATTTTTAGGATTGGGTTAAAATTATTTTAAATATTTTGGAAGCATTTTTAAATGTTTTTGAAGGGTTTTTGAGCCAAATAGTCTTGCTTTTACAGAAAATAATTCTAAGAATATATTGAAAATGAGGGTCGTGGGTTCGAACCCGCCCGAGGCCCGTTATTTTTAGAATTGGGTTAAATTTATTTTAAATATTCTAGAAGCATTTTTAAATGTTTTTGAAGGGTTTTTGAGCCCAATAGACTTGCTTTTGCGAAAATAATTTAAGTTTATATTGAAAATGAGGGGTCGTGGGTTCGAACCCGCTCGAGGACCGTCATTTTTTTAATTGACCAAGTGTTCTCAAAACCCCTTTATGAGTCGTGGGTTAAGTCCATTTGAGGACTTTTTATTTTTTTAATCATCCAACTACTCTTAAAAACCTTTTTAGAGTCTAGAGGTATTCATGGCAGAGCTGAAGGAGGTTTTGGTTCTTCCACCTCCTCATCAGACAACAAATCCTCAGAAAAGCAAAATAAAAAGGACGAAGAGGAGGATAAATATAAACAATTTGCTGGGGACAAAGAAAAAATTATCGAAGAATTTTTCGAAAGATTTAATAAAGTTGTGCACGAACATATAAAGGAAATTGCTAAAGACCCTTCAAAAGCCAAAATGATGAATAAAGCTGCCCTTGAATTTATTAAAAAATTTAATGAAAAAAGTGAAGGTTCTGGTTTGTCTATTGAAAAGGATCCGTCTGGAGGTTTATTTTTTTGAATTTGTAGTTTTCTGGTCGTAGATATGCGGGCGTGAGAAGGAGGGGGGTTGTTGGTTCGAACCCTCTTGAGACCCTTTTATTTTTAGAACCACGCTCGGTGCCAGTTATTTTTAAAATTAACCAAATGTTTTCAAAACCCCTTTATGGGTCGTGGGTTGAGTCCGTTTGAGGCTTTTTTATTTTTTAATCATCCAACTACACTTAAAACCCTTTTTAGAATCCAGAGGTATTCGAGGCAGAGCCAAAGGAGGTTTTGGTTCTTCCACCCCCTCATCAGACAACAAATCCTCAGAAAAGGAAAATAAAAAAGACGAAGCTGAAGATAAATATAAACAATTTGTTGGGGACAAGAAAAAAATTATTGAAGAATATGTCAAAAGATTTAATGAAGGTGTGCAGGAATTTAGAAAGGAAGTGCAGGAATTTAGAAAGGAAGTTGCTGGGCCTTCAAAGGCAAAAATGATGAATGAAGCTAACCGTGAATTTATTAAAAAATTTAATGAAAAGATTGAAAGTTATGGTTTGTCAATTGAAAAGGACCCGTCTGCAGGTTTATTTTTTAATTTTTCAATTGAATTTGTAGAGTTTGTTGGGTGTGGAGATGTGGGCGTGAGAAGGAGGGGGTCGTTGGTTTGAACCCTCTTGAGACCCTTTTATTTTTTGAAATAGACTGAAATTATTTTCAATGTTCTACAAACATTTTTAATTGTTATTTGAAATGGTTAACCATAACTTTTTAACTTTTACAAGAAAAATTTTAAGAAGCTGGGGACAAGAAAAAATTTAAAGAAGAATTTCTCAAAAGATTTCGCGGCGTATTTGCGCTGGAATATAGAAAGGAAGTTGCCAAAGACCCTTCAAAAGCCGAACTTGTGCGTGAAGTTCTGCTTGAATTTATCAGGATATTTAATGAAAAAAATGAAGGGTCTGGTTTCTCTATTGAAAAGGATGCGTTTATATGTAGGTTTATTTTTTAATTTTTAAATTGAATTTGTAGAGTTTTCGGGGAAGGAAATGTGGGTGGGAGGAGTTGTTGGCCTCTTGAGACCCTTTTATTTTTAGAAATAGGCTTAAATTTTTCAATGTTTTGGAAACATTTTAAATTGTTTTTTGAAGTGGTTAACCTTAAATTTTACAAAAAATAATTTAATGATTCACTTAGTGATAATATAGAGGTCGTGGGTTCGACCACGCTCGGAGCCCTTTATTGATTTTTAAATTGATAAAAAAACATATCGCTGTAAAAGCTAGTCTATTGTAATCTAAAAGCCATTACCAATTTTCTAAATTAAAATTTAATATTAGGAATTCTTTAAAAATATAAAAAATATGAAAATTGGGATAGAGGGGGAGGTCGTGGGTTCGACCACGCTAGAGGCCCCTTATTTTTTAAATTGAGATAAAATTATTTTGAACATTCAAAATTATTCTTTTAATTTTTTAGCTGTAAAATTCTTCACGTTTCAACTCATCCTCGCTGTGATTACTGCAATTTTTTTGCTGACCATATTTTTTGGGGGAATGTCTAGAGAACATCTGAAACTACTAAATACAGAAAGTACAATTAATTTTGATCAATTTGTGAGGGATTATTTGAATGTTGGAGAGGTTAATTTTTTAAACTATATCGTGAGTGCTCTAATATAAACCCTAGTTTTAAATTTTTCAATAGGTGACGTTGACATGCTTCTATTAGAGAGGGAGCTTATATTTTTCGATGGGTCTCCTCGGGTGAACTTATATTGGAGAGTGTCAGATCATTACAAGTATTATGAAAAATAAAAAAAATTTTGAAGGTTCAAGGAATTTATTTTTACCCAAACAAGGAATTGGCTATTGCCACATTACACCCAAACGCTGTAATTAGTGGAAAAACGGTTTGTTTAGATTTTTGATTAAATTTAAATTATTTTGGGGTTATAATAGGAAATTTAAGTTAATTTAACAATTTTTTGCAAATAAAAAATTGTTGACCCCCGAGCGGGTTCGAACCTTGGACCCCCCCCTCCTCCACTAAAAAATTTATTTTTTTTTCAAATTTAATTTTTTAAAGATATCCTCGCATGGAGTGCCCATTTCAACCTCAGATAGACTGATTTTTAATTATAGTCCAACACAATTTGTTCACGCCGTTCGCGATGTTGAACAGAAATTAGGCGTTGACCAGAGGGAAAATGTTCCAATACTCGTTAAACATACAATGCCCACTGGAAGGTTTTTTTAAATTAAAGAAAATTAATTTAAAAAAATTTTTTCAGAAAAATTATATATTTTTTGATATTGGGATTAATCTATTTTGTTTCTTTAAAATATTACAGAGGTAGAATGTACAAAGACGCTTTCCGCGTTATTTCTTCTGCGGCTAAAGAGAAGAAAGGGAAATAGAGGAAAAAAGTTTAATTTTATTTTAGTTGTTTCAGAATTAAAAATTCTGGTTTTTAATTTAAATAAATTCTGATTTAAAATTCTGGTTTTGAAAAAATTCTGAAAATATTCAAGTTTTAAGTTTTACTACTGATTTTAAGAGTTAATTCTGATTCAAGTTTATTTCTATAAAATTCAAGTTGGTAATTATTCTGATATTATTCTGATTTATAATTCAAGTTTATTTAAATAAATTAAATTTTCTGATTCAGAATTAAATTCAAGTTTAAAACAAAAAAGTTTAAGAATAATAAGGCGGCTTGTCCACTTTAATTCCATATTCCTCCAAAATAGGCAATAACAATTCTGTTGTCAGGCAATATTTGGCACCACGAGTTCCTTTGCGGACCTGTCCGAGTCCTTTAATTCTGGCCTAAAATAGGGGGGAAATTAGGGGGTTTTGACATTTTTCTGAAATTATTTTGTTGAGTCCACCCCTGAAGACCTACCCCTACACCTTTTTGATCAACTCACTTTTTTACTTTTTATTTCTTTACAAGTCTAATCAGGGGATTTAAAGGAGGTAAAGAAGAACTAGGAAAGATTAAGGGGATATAGATGGATTCGAAGGTTTTAAAGGGGATAGAGAAGGATTAAGGGGGATATCGAGGATCCATTAATCCCTACAAACCTTTTTTTCCCTTTAACCCCTCAGACCTACCTATTAAACTTGTAAAGAAAGAATAAATAAATAATTTGAGTTGATCAAAAAGTTGTAAGTCTTCCGGGTAAATAGTTCTTCAGGGTTGACCCCTTTTTCTGACCTGTTGCATAGCATCCAAACAAATATCCGAAATAAATTTTTGAGTTGCCAACGAAAAAAGGCGAACAACACGCGGGTCTGGACTGGTTATTCCATTCTTAAAAGGGAATTTTCAATTTTTTTTAATTAAAAGAAAAAAAACCTTTTTCATATAATAAAGAGCTACAGCATCAGGAATTGCTGGAGTATATTGCTCCAAATCTTTATAAAAATCTGCTAATGTAGAACCTGTACGGAGGTTGGCGCTAGCTAAAAATAATAAATTTTTTAATAGAAATTTTTTTAAATTTTGGTGATAGTAAAGAGTGGAAGGGAGGGAGAGGGGTTTTTGTGGAAGTCCGCAAAAATTTACATAAAATCCGCAAAAGTGGATTTTATGTCGGTGAAATGATTTCACCCATCGGTGAAATGTCCATTTTTTCGAAAAAAATTTTTTATTAAAAAAAATCACATGAACTCGTCTTTGATTTCCCTTTACTTTTGACCAATTTGTCACCCCCTAACAAAAATTGGACACCTTGGTTAAGTGGTATAATCGAAAATTTTGTGTCTCATTTTCTATAAAAATATTTTTAAAAAACCTTTAGTAAGTTCTTCAATATAAGCTTCAGGAATTTTGTTTCTATGTATTCCTTCCTCAGTTTGTCTTTCTTCTGTTTGCTCATTTGTAGCATTTTCCATTGGAACTTTAAAAAATTTTTTTTGTATTAAAAACAAAAGAATTCACTTATCGTGTACTGGAGTCAGCTTAAAAAAGTAGCCCCGGTAGCCCCGGCCAGTTTTTAATCTCCTCCAACTGATAGCAATTTCATTTTTATTGGAAAAATTTGGCATAACCCCTCCGCACATAAGCGCTATACCACTGAGCTACCGAGGCATAAGTTAATCTTTTCCTATTCTCTTTAGAGCTTGATTAAACCCCGCCTAAGCGTTTAACTCCATTCTCTAGAAAATAAGGTCCTAACTAAAAGGGAGGCTATAGGGGCTCGATTCAAGGACAATAGGAAAAGGGATGAAATTGGGAGAAGAAACGTGAGGAGAGGAGGCTGTAGCCACTATTCCACCTTAAAATGGGAAAAAATATCGAGGATACCTATCAAATTTTTTTTAATTTTCGCCAGAAAATTAAAATTTATTTTTTTACAAATTTCTATCCCTCTATGCACCTCCATCTAAAATACTTCCTTGGGGAAATCGGAAATATACCACACAAAACCAAATTAAAAAAAAACAGGAGTTCAAAGCGTAGCCGAAACTTCCTCCCCCCAAAATTTAAAAATCAAAAATTTTTTCAATAAATTAAAAAAAACCTTCTCCAATCTCATTTCCATTATTTAAAGATGAAGAGCCTACAAGATTACTATTCTCCTCTTCATTTTGTACCAAATCATTATTCTCTTCCTGACCAATCGGTGAAATGTCCATTTTTTCGAAAAAAATTTTTATTAAAAAAAAAATAAAATTAAAAAACAAAATTTAAAAATAATAAAATGGAATGAACCAAAAATTAAAAATAAATAAATTTATTTTTCAAAAAAAATTTTATTAATAAATTTAAAAAAAATAAAGAAAAAAATTATTTTTAAAGTTCTCCACACAATTCAATAACAATAGGCAATTTTGGTTTGCTATTTTGTACAATTGGAACCTAAAAAAATAAATAGAAATTGGGCTAAAATATTAAAAAAAAAATTTAATCCATTAAAAAAAGGAAAAAAAGAATGGCAAAATTGGCCCATTCCAAATTTTCTAAAATTTTTTTAGAAAATTCTTGCCCATTTTTCTTCCCAATTTGCAAGAAAAATCCAAAAATAGCCTAGGCCATCGTCTGATAGCAATTATATTTTTAGGAAAAAATGGGAACAAAGGGGGGGGGGCAAAATGGGAACAACTTGTAGAGACGCCCGAGACCGAAAATTTTCCAAGACTCAAGACCAACACTATACCCCAAGACCAAGACCGAAAAAAACCCAAGAAAAGTCTTGAGTCAAGAATCAAGACTAAGAGTCTCGGACGTCTCTAACAATTTGAAATGGGAGCAAAGGAGGAAACATCGCCTGACAATGAGGCGTAGAACCTGCTTTTCCTCAGAATCTCTATCTTGTGGTAGAGAAAAATGGGAATTTGTGTAAATATAAACAAAGGCCATACGCCAAAAGGATAAATCCATTTTTTAAAAAAAAGGGCACCAAGCGTGGTTGAACCCATGACCTAAGAACTAATGCTCCCTTCTTTTTTTAAAAATTAAAAAAAAACCCCCCAACATTTTCAATTTTTCGAACAGTCAAAAGTCCATCAAGTACACGACCTTAAAAATAAAAAAAATTAATTTTAATAAAAAAAGTTTAAAAATAAACCAAAAACAACATGTTTTCCATCCAAAAAATCGCATTTATTACAAGTAATGAAAAATTGGCAGCCTTTAAAAAAATTTGGAAAATGAGGAAATTCAATTTATAAAATAACCGTTAGTGTCTGGACCAGCATTTGCCTATCAAAAAATTTTTTTTATTTTAAAATTTATTTAAAAAAATTTTTTGAGCAAATAAAAAAATAATTCCCCGGAGCGGGTTCGAACCCACTTCTCTCCCTCTTCTTCGTCTACAAAATTTAATCAAGCTTAAATAAAAAACCCCCACCAATTCTTCTACAAAAATTCAAACCCCACAAATTTAATTTTAAAAATTATTTATAAAAAAATAAAAACCATAGAAAGTATCCCAGGCTCTCCATGTTTTAAATCAAAATTTTCGTCAGCAAATTTGGGTCCATAAATTGAAGTCATTCCTGTTCCATCACCCTTTTTAAAGAAAAAATATTGGTTAAAGAAATTCAAAAAAAAAATTTTTTACATTAACAAAATCGCCTCCTTGTATCATAAAATCCTTAAAAATGATAAAAATATAAAAAATTTTAGTTAAAAATTAAAATATCAATTGGAAATTTTCTTTGTTTTACACAGGATATTCAAATCTTTTAATTTGAGTGAAAAAATTAATCTAGAAAAATGACCCCAAAATGGATCTTAAACAATGATCTCCTTCAATAACAGAATTTTTACGTTAAATTAGTGTACGGACCGTGCCATACTACGGCCGTATTTTTCAGTATTCTAAACCAAGATACAAAATTCCGATCACTAATTTAAATAGGTGATTCACAAGTAACCGGAAAAAAATACAAAAAGTTGTCAGAAAAATCAAAAAATTTCTTAACTAAAATTTCTTTTCGATCCACCCTTATTTCTCTTAAAAACTCTAAAAATCCCATTTACAAAATAACAAAAACCTTTATAACTCTGTGAAATTGAGAATTTTTATAACCAACAGGAACGCCGTCTTTTCTCCTAAAATTTTGAATGAAAATTTTTAAATTAAAAAAAATAAATAAACATTTCTCCAGTACAAAACTGTCTAAAATTTTCTGCAGTCTTTGGACAAACATCGGCAAAAAGTTCCATTACTATTCTACCTAAAATAAAATTTAAAAAAATATTTGAAAAAAATTTAAAGACATTTGGTCCTAAATCTGACAAAAATTGGTCAATATTTAATTTTTAAGCAAATAAAAAAAATAAATAACACGGAGCGGGGTCGAACCCATGACCCCCCTTTCCCCACGAAAATGTTGCGAATTTTATTTTTGATATTGCGTAAAAATTCTGATTTTTCATTAAGAAAAGACTAATATGAGGGAAATAGCCTTTCTAGACCAATTAAAGAGAGGTGAGAAACCCATGTAAAAAAAAGTCCGCAAAAAATAAAAAATCCGCAAAACTTGTCCACAAGTTTATTACTGTCACAATTAACAGACACTAGACAAATCCCTCCCATACTTCTTATTATCCCATTCCCTAAAACTCAAAAAAAGTAAAAAAATTTTCAAAAAAAACCTATAGGAGCTCCACCAGCAGCAACATCAAAGAAAACAACTGGATTTTCTGGGTGACGAAGTTTCTCCACCAATCTGTCCCATTCACTCATTTTATTATTAAAAAGTTAAAGCTGAAAATTAATTTTTTAAAATAAAAATTTTTTAAAAAGACATTTGGTCCCAAAACCAAAAAAAATCCAAAAAAAATCATAAAAACATTTTATTATTATATTTGAAAATCGAATAAATTTTATATAAATATACACAGACGACCCCACTATAAGATACACCCAAAAATTATTTTTAAAAACCTCATGTCAGTTTAACACGGAGAGGTTGTGAGATGTCCGACCTAAAAACGGTCGAGACCGGGCTCATTCAATATTCCCGGTCTCGACCAGGGCTGGGCTTATTTCGCACTTTCGCATTTTTTAGCGCGAAAATTTTCGCATTTCGCTTTTTATTTTTTCATTGCGCCCAGCCCTGGTCTCGACCGTTTTTAGGTCAGACACCTCGCAACCTCTCCGTGTAAGATACAAAGGTTTTGTTTTAAGTGGGGGAAGATGTCTAAGCATTGTTTAGGGAATCTGTTTAACCAAAACCCTTCTATTTAATAAACACCTCATTATAAGGCTCGATTAAACCCTGAGGGTGTATCTTAAAATGAGGTCCGTCTGCATAGATAAAAAAAACAAAAAACATAATGAAAGAATTTAACACACTCGGACCCTCACTAGCAAGTACACCTTCATTATAAGACCTTTTGGCGCTGGTCTAGTTTATGCGTCCAATGAACTTTTATGCGTCCAATGAAAAGTTTATGAGTCCAATCAACAACAAATTGGATTTTTCTTAGTATTGCAAAGTTGGGTATGGTTCCAAAGCATTTCTTCATGTTCGGGACCTATGCCCACTGGGTCCGGGACCATTTATTGTCCTATCCCTAGAAATTTCAGAAAGTTATAATTGTTTTTCCCTTTCCGAAATTTCGAGGTATAGGGCAAGAAATGGTCCCGGACCCAGTGGGCATAGGTCCCGAACATGAAGAAATGATTTGGAACCATACCCAACTTTGCAATATTAAGAAAAATCCAATTATTTTTTGATTGGACTCATAGTTTCATTGGACGCATAAACTAGACCAGCGCCGACCTTTTTCCAACCTCAAAAGGTGTACTCACAAGTGAGGTAGCCCAACTGTATTTTCCAATAAATATATTTAAATTTTCTTCAAAAAATTTTTTATTAAATTCACACATTTTCTGCCCCCAAAAGTCCTCTCTCTCCTTCCAAATTAATCCTCCCATCTTTGTTTATTCGAAAAAAAGCTTGTAGGTAAACCAAAATCTGCTGGAATTTCTAATTCTTCTGTTAAATAGTCAATTTCCCCTTCTTCCTTTTCTTCTGGTTGTTGTTGAACACTTTTTTGTGAAGATGTGGGTGGTTGTCGAGGAGGGGGAGGAGTTTGTTTTAATGGTGGTTGTTGTTTTTGTGATGGTTGTGGTGGAGGAATATTATCCTCTCTAGGGTTAATTTGAAGCAAATTTTGAGGGTTTCGAAACTGAAAAAAAATTTTTTTGAAAATTTTTAAGAAGCAAAAATTGGTACTTTTTCGTCTTCAATAGAAAAAAGCAATCTCTAAATGTCCGTGTATCGTTTCCTGTTCCGGATGTTAGAAGACCTATCAGTATCCACTAGTTTCAGTTCCGGTTCCGGGCCGAACCAAGTAAAGTTCGGGCTCCGAAATCCGCAAGTCAAATTGGATCCGGTTCCGGTCAAAATTTCGGTTCCAGTGAAACACTAGTATCCTCCCTTTTTTCCCCTTTATTATTTCGGAGAAAGGAAAAAAAAAGAAAGAAAATTAGGAACGGCTGCTCGAAAAACTAACAAATTTGAAAAGGTTCCTTTAAATTACCTCATTCCTCCCTCTACTATTAGTAATAAGTGGAGGAATAGGTGACTGTTGTTGTTGTTGTAGTAGTTGATGTCTAAGAGAAGGAATTGGTTGGTGTTGCTGCCGTCCAAAAATTGGAGTAAATTGTTGCTGTCTTAAAGGAGGGATTAATGGTGGTGTTTGTTGTTGTCTAAGGGGAGGAGGAATGGATGTTGATGACGAGGATTGTTGTTGATGCCGTATAAGAGAAGGAATATGTTGTTGTTGCCTATTAAGAGGAGTTAAAGGGGTTGGAGGTGGTAGTTGCTGTTGTCTAAGTGGAAGAATGGATGATGGTGGTGGTTGTTGGTGTTGATGTTGTTGTGGTCCTCTTAATATATTAGGTGTTGTAGTAGGCGATGGAGGAACAAAAATTCTTTTTTGTTGTTGTTGTTGTCGTTTTTGAGAGTGAAGAGCGGTGATAGAATCAAAATTGTCCTTAAAAAAGAAAGGATTTTTTGGTTGTTTTTTAAAGATCCAAGACAAGAACCCTTGACTTTTTACAGTTCCAGCTGACAGAAAAAAGAAAGGTAAAGGGTAAGTAAAAGTGAATTTGTAGGTAAAAGTGAATTACATTTCTAATCACACCTCCTAAAAGTGTGTGAGGTAGTGAAGCTCTACTAGTAATGAGGTGAGACCCTTCTATCTATTTATTCATTTATTTTCTATTTGAAGTCAAATCCCTACCAATTCAATATCCTCACAAAACATAGAATCATCATTTACATTGCTGCTATTACTACCATAATCCCCACCCAAAATGTTTGAACTTGTCGGATGTTGCTGGTGTTGATGCTGTAAAGATGGCGGTGGAGGAGGTGGGGGTAATAAACATTTATTAGAAATAGGTGTTGTAGTTGCCGTCAAGTCAGCAGCAATATTTGGAGGAATTTGAGGTGGAGGAAGATGAAATAATGTTGTTGATAGAGGAGGAGGTGGTGGTGGAGGTAACAAACATTTTGAAGGAGAAATGTTCGTAGTTGTTGTTTCAGCAATATTTGGAATTGTTTGAAGTAATTGACAAGGCAAAATGATGATGGTGGAGGAGGTTGTTGAAATAATAAAGCCATTGGCATAAATGTACTGGCATTTGGCTAAAATTAATAAATTACTAAAATATGAAATGTTCTAAATAAACCCTTTGCCCTATTAGAAGGGGAGAAGACCTCATAGAAGTCCCTGCCCTAGATGCAGATTCTGATCAACAGAGGGATACCGCCTTTCAAGTAGGCAGTAAGCCTGTTTACTTAAAAACTATTACCTTTTCGGTAAACGCCTTAAGGAATAGGGTTGTCGATTTATAATGGAAGAACTACACCGAAGAACCGAGGATTTATTGGGTTTGGCCAACAAACTTTAAATTTGAGAGGTATTTGATATCCGGGGAGTTTATCTTAAAACGCGAGTAAAATCAATTTTAAAAACTACATTGGCAGTAGCAATTGTAGTTGTTGTCGGCGGAGGTGGAGGAGGCTGTGGAGAAGACAAAGCTGGAGGTGGCGGTGGTGGTGATGATGGAGGGGGAGGAGGAGGAGGCGGTGGATGTTGTTGTTGTTGAGATGGTGGAACTGGAGAAGATAGTGGAGGCACTGGTCTAGGTGATGATGATACACAATTTGAAGGAAGTTTGGAAAGTGGTGATGGTTGTGATGGAGCTGTATTTCTTCTAGGCTCCTTTAAAAAAAGAAAGTTTTTAAAAGACATGAAGCCTCTAGGGATCCTGCCGAAATAAAAATTGAATTCCCGATTTTGGAAATCGGAAGGGCAGCAAATTTTGAAAAAAATAAAATTTACAATATTTTTTTTCTTTGAAACATTCAAATCTTCACAATTAATAATAGAACGGATTTGTGTGTCAATGATAAAATCACTTGGTGAATATGGCCGAAGCGACTATAAAAATTTAAGAGAATTAATTTGAAAAATCAGAGCCATATGATAAAGGTTCGAACTGATAGAAACTAGTTTTAGGAAGATGGAGTTTTTCGGTACTTGTAGTATCGAAAGATACCTATGTATCAACTAGTACAGAAAATTCCAAAATCTTAGCTTAACGGTACCATAATTAGCAAAAATAGTGTCCGGTACTTTAGGCAGTACCGAACCTGACCGAACACTAATCAGAACAACGGAAACCGAAAATTAGATACAAAAATACTAAAATATCTCAACATAAGGTAAATTTTTTCTTCTTTAACAGAGTTAAAGTTATACTTTCAACTATAAATCCACCTTTCATTTTAAAAAATAAACCAAAAATTCACCTCATTAGTTGGTTGTTGTTCTCCTTCTACTACAACAGCACTAGTTGAAGTTGCTGTTGCCTCATTCGTTTCCTCCACCCCTTCTTGTTGTTGTTCCACTTCCTTTTCAGTTTCATTTTCTTCTTCCAGAGGATCTCTATTATTTGACCGGACACCTTCTTCTTGCTCTACAACAACACTAGTTACTTCACTTGTAGTTTTATTCTTTTCAGAAGTCTTCTCACTATTATACTCTAATAAGGCTGTTGTTGGTGTTCTTGCTGTTCTTGTTGACTCATCAACAACATTATCAACATTATTACTTCCTCTATTCTGTTCCAATAAAGTTCTTTGTCTAACTGCTAAGCTAATATCCAATCTTTCTTCCGTTGTTAAATCAGAATGTGCTTGTAAAAAGTTACCAACAAGGAGGATTATATGCTCTAAAATATTTTAATGAATTTTTTAAACTTGATTTGTCGGGTCTGTTGTTTTCAGGAGTCAATATCCCTTAAATCCTCGGATATCTCACTTAATCCTTGATATCCCCCAAAATCCCACTATTTAATCATCGATATTACAAGAATCCCCCAATCCCTTCATACGACAAAAATCCTACTTAATCCTTAAATTATTCAAAATTTGATCAAATATTCGATAATTTTTTGGCGAAATAAGCAAAAATTAATCTTCAAACCCGTAGCATTTGCTTCAATCCGTTTTTAGCATTTTCCCTATCTCCAACTCCTACCAATTGTGTCCAAAAACTTTTATCTAATTCCACCTGCTACCAACCGTGTCCCCGCTCTTTTTTATTCCAATACTCTCCAGATCTATTAAATGTACTAAAACCCACCTGGATTAGCTTGATCCCTTATTTCCCTCAACAATTCATCAACTGTCTCAATTATTGGCAATTGAATTTCTTCACCATTTTCTAACAAAATATTGTTGTTGTTAGAAAGTTCTGAATTATGCCTGTTATTATTTAAATGTGGAGAATTGGTGGATTGATGCCTTGTTGTTTCAAGATTTTGTGAAGTTGAAGCAATGCATGACTAAAAAAATATTTTAATTAATGAGATGGGAATACTTCCTATATCTAAAATATCTCATTAAACTCACATCCTCCGGCGGCGGCCATACTGGAGGCTGAGCACAACTTACAGTTGTTATTAAAGAGTCTTCTGCTACACGCGGTTTACGCCAGTTTGGTATATCAGAAATATTTGGAGTTCGTAAATTCGAGTTGTTGTTAGGTATTTGTTGTTGTGGTGAAGACCAATCCATTTGGGAATCGAATGGCGAGGAAAGGTTTTTTTGTTGATGTTGAGGCGTAGAAGAATCAAATCGTTCAGAAGGCAAGGGTTGTAATGTACGTTGTTGACGCCAATTTTCGTCTTGTTGTTTACGCCATAACTTATCTTCACGATCCATACGGCGAACTAGCATTATGATCATAAAAGCTCTGTGCATACACCAGTCAGGTAATCCAGGACCATCCAATGGAAGGAGAACGCCTGAAAAATGATGGTTCACCTAACATTACAAGTTTTCATACTTGGTAAAGGCATTCCAGGACCAAGAGTAAAAACATATCCATCCTTAATATGTTCATGTCCAGCTAAATCCAAAACAATAATTTGTTGATTATCACAGCTACTGACTTTTTCGAAACAACGCATATATAACTCATATTGATATGTATCTAAATGAGTTATAACTTTTAAAGAAATTGGAAAAGAAAAGAGTAAACAACAAATTAAAAAACATCGATGAAGGATAATCATTGATAGGGTGGAGGAGGAAAACAATCAGATCTCTCGCAGCTCAGCTAACTCAGATGCAGCCACTGCAATTAGCAGAGCTGCTAAACTAAAGTCAATTCCATCTACTCTTAAAATATAAAGTAAAGAAAAAATGGTAATGTGAAATAAGAAAAATATGGAAAAGAAACCAAAGATATAGCCAAGCTGATTTTTTCAGAAAAATTTTTAAAATTAGTTATCCTTAAAATGCTGTATTGTATGTTATTTGACTTAATACACTTGCAATGGTGTTCATTTTCAAATAGAGTATAATGCATAATAGTTGAAAAAACCACACCTTGTGGATGTTCAACCAACAATAAAATAACTTGTTTATCCCAACTATCAGTTAATCTTCCAATATAATGCCAAACACCATTAGCTTCCGATCTGCCCATTACTTGAAGAGATTGAGGCAATTCACGACCCGCTTTAAATGCTCCTCTATTGCTTATTGCAGTTAATTTACAATCAAATGAAATAAAAGAATTCCAAATAAATTTTCCTCTCCAGACTTGATGTTTGTTGGTGAACCTATAATAAATTTAATAAGCATAAGTAAGAAGGAATTTGAAAATAAATTTCAAAAAAAGTACAACTATATTTTACGTAGACGGGATTAGAGATCGAACAGGGTCGAAATATCATTCAGAGATCACGGGTATCGTTACCAAGAGTTCTCGAGATAACGACCTTGAATCTCGATCAATCTCTAATCACGAATTCAGACCTAATTGGGATGGTTTTTAGGACTATTTGGGATTAGAGACAAGCATCGATGGGATCTTTCATTAGATACGATTGTTCAGAAAATCTTTGGATATGAGCAGAGTTTGATCTCATTCAAAGATCACGGTTATCCAAAATATTTCGAGACATTGACTGATCAATCATCCAAGTTCAAAAATGATTCTCTGGGCAGTTCACCGTATCAACATGAAATTTCGAACATATCCTGGATCAATAGGGGCTATCGGTGAACAGAAATAAAGTTAACTAATAAATGGATTGGACTAAGACTAGATTCATTCACAAATCTCGGTGATCGAGAGATATCGATCTTTAATCTCGACCAATCATGATGTGCTTGGGTACACCCCAAATTAACGTAAGCCCAAGGTACCGCCGAGCTATAACTTTGTTCAAAATTGTCGAATCCGGTACGCCCTGGTATGTTCGATTCAACTCGTCGAGATGCCTCGAACCATACCAGGGCGTCCCGGTTTCGACAATTTTGAAAAAAACTATAGCACTGCGGTACCTTGGGCTCGCGGTACCTTGGCCTGCTCCGTGCGCGTTTCTATGTTTAATGACGGTATACGGTGAACTGTCCGTCACTAGATCTCGATTCACCTATTTTTACCACCTTAAAATGTCTGTAAAAGCAGGAGATTATGGAAAAAGTAGAACAGAACAAAGGACGGTATCTCTAAAATAGAGGGTATAAGTAGTACGTAAAATATAGGCTAAATAACAAGCCAGGAGGACACAATTTAAAAAAATAAGAGACTTTTGTCCTCCTCGAATAAATTCTTGTTGCTCTTCACTTCTCATTGGAACATTATTAACAGTAGGACTAGGCCCACCATTATTTCCATTATTAAACGACTTCCTTCTCATATTCCAATTTCCATTATTATCAATTTCTCTATTATTATTATTGCTTTTTATTTGTTCAAATGGAGGAATAACACGTGGAACAACTATTTGATCATTTTCTTTATGCTTTTCTTTTTGATGAGAATGATGATCATTTTGAGTTGAACGAAACTAAAAAAATAATTTAAAAATAAACACAACTAAATCTGCTCTATTTGAAATGAACTCTCTCTTACTAACTTTTTTACCCAAAAAAATCAGCTTGGACCGTGAGAATATTTTTAAGGACGGTGTCTCTTGGGTCCTCTCCCCAGAGACCTTCACTTGGACCGTAACTTGGAGTTTCGTATTTGAGATACTCTAACTGGGAAGAATAGGTTACTCTCTATTTTGCCAATGAGGCTAAAAATCACACGTTTTGCCAGCAAAGTTATTTTCAAAACGTGATTTTTAGCCATATTGGCAATGAAAGATAAAAAATAGTATAGTATTGGTAAATATTGCCAATCATGCTAACAGAAAACGTGACAATTTAATTTAAACAGTTTATAAAAATTTCGGCACAAGGATTTTTTACAATTCATACAAGGACCCACTCCTCCCCCTCTCAGGCTTGTCTAGATCTGAACAAGCTCCCGTAATCCACAAGTTTCCCCTTCAGTTTTTTTGCAAGTTTATAATTAAATGGGTATAATCATTTAAAAATCGGTAAAAAATAAAAGGGAAATCGGTAAAAATAAAACTACTATTTATTCCAAAATAAATTAAAAAATTCCGACGAAATTAAACATGACAAGTTGTCAATGGGGTTGTTGATTTGTAGGTTTTTTTGGCGAAAGATAGATATGGGGAATTTGAGTAAAAGAATTTTGTTTATCTTTACAAAATTAACAAGACAGGGACATAAGACAGGGATATTAATTAAGTTAATGAGGATATAAAGAATTGGGTCCTTCTCTCCCCAGAGACCTTCTCTTCATTTTATTCTGCTTTATATTATCTTTATCGCCTTATCGTTGACTAGAAAGTCGCGACATGGGGCAGAATCATCAGAATGTGAAGGATATTTTTGAATGGTTGCGGGTTATACATGGCTCGAGGGCTAGATTGGAACAAGACATGCACGAAACGTTTCGTTTCGTTGTTTCGTTATGTTTTTTCCTGTTTCGTCTCGTTTCGTGACGAAACAGTTATTAATCTACTGTTTCGTCTCGTTTCGTTGAAAAAACGATTTTTAAAAAATTTTGTTTCGTTTCATCTGAAAAATTTTTGGAGTTTCGTGCATGTCTGATTGGAATCCCACTCCATAAAAAATGATATTGGGGTATTTCGAGATAAGAACAATTACAAGACTGTGTAAGCCATTAGAGCTGTCCGAGACCAAAATTTTTCCAAGACTCAAGACCCAAGACAAAATTTTTTCCAAGACCAAGACTCAAGACCAAGACCAAAACTCCAAGACCAAATTTTTAAATCTCATAGGTCAAATTTTTGGTTTATTTTTTGTTATTTTGATACGATCAGTCAACTTCAGCACAATTATCTATAATTTCGAAAAATTTATGCGAAATTCAAAGAATTTCGGGGAATTTATTCGTGTGGAAAATCAATAAAATAGGTTATTATTTCAGAGGATTTGGGTGTATTAACGGGATATTGGTGAAATCAAAGGATTAAGAGGGATTGCCGTGGGATTTAGTGAATTATGAGGGATCAAAAGGAATTAGTATGAAATTGGAGGACCAGGGTGATTAGGTGATGGTGGCTGCTGATATCCATCCTCTATTTTATCCCTATCTTTTTGCGCGCATGCGAAAATTTGTACAACTTTGGAAGGCCAAGAAGCCAGAATTCTTCATTTTCCAGCGCCGCAGGCGAAAACTTTGGGAATTATGAAGGCCGAGAAGCCAAAAAAAATTCATTTTTTCGGCGCCGCAGGCGAAAATTTTGAGGATTTTGGATGGCCAAGCACTAGGTCCAAAAAGGCCAAAAAACCAAGACCAAAAAATAAAACCAAGACAAGACCAAGACAAACACCCCAAGAGCAAGACCAAGACCGAAAAAAAACCAAGAAAAGTCTTGGTTCCAAGACCAAGACCAAGAGTCTCGGACAGCTCTATAAGCCATAATGATGAGGTTAGCTGGAGCCTTCGGTATAAAGAATTGTCATATAAGTTCGCAATGAGCGGTATGATATCGAAAGGTACTATACAGAATTCGGTTGAAAAGACACACCCATTACAGGGTTCCACAGATTGGTATCTATGGAGAAGCTGATAAGGCCACCCCTCCCCCCTCGATATAAAACCTCTTGTCAAAAAAAAAAGATTTTTTCGATTTAAATTAAACAAAAAATTCATTTTTGTTTAATTTAGATCTAAAAATCAGCCAAAAATAAAAAACAAACTCACATCTACACTTGCTGTTGTTGTAGCAGTATCATTAAGCCTTTCAGAAGCTAATTGTTGTAACGGCATTTCAGATTCATAACATCCATCATCACCAATATTATTACTAAAATCACCTCCACCATCATCAAAATCATCATCATTTGCTTGTCCAAATGTCGACATATTGTCATCCTCTTCATGAACATTTTCTTCTTCTGGAGGAAGGGCATCAACAGATTCTAGACCTAACGGGTCTCGTAGACGACGTTCTTGATCGATTGGATCGTCACAACGTCCAAGAATTACATCTCCACCCAATAACATATTGTTACTGTTAGAAATTGATGGGGACGGGGCAGAGCGTTCAAACTGAAAAAAATATAAGGATTAATAATTTTGAGTATATTTAAAAAATCACGATATGTGCCTAAATGTGTTAAAAAAAATAAACAAAAATAACAGGAATGGACCCATTCGAATTTTTTTTAAAATAAAAGCGGAAAATAAAAGCCGCAAAAAAATGGAAAAGATAAAAAATGGGAGCGGGCAGCAGACTAAAGGGCAAAAGAGAAGGAAGTGGGACGAAGAAAACTACATAAGATTCCTGATCAAACCCGTAACCAGAATTTTTTTCAGGGAAGGGAGGAAGGAATTCCCATTGGTTACGGGCCTGTCCCTGATATATAAGTACATAGAGGCATAAAAATTTTACTATATTATTTAAACAAAGTACCCTAAAAAGTAATCCTAGCCCTTCCAACATGCAAATCTTTTCCTGCGGCGATAAAAAAATAAACACCAAAGTAAACGCAAAAAGTATAAAAGATCCCAACTTAAAGCAAGCTCCCCAAAATAATTTTTTTAAAAATTTAACAAAGCAAACCGTTTCCCGTTGCTGTCTATCTCTCTTTTGTTTCAAAAAATCCAATTCATTCGAAGCTGTTTCAGCAGCACTAGCTTCCAACATTGCAGCTTGAATAGAAGGATCCAAATTTGGAAAACTTAATTGTGATCCACTTTTTGCTTCTTCTGCTTTTCTCTGCAAAAAATTTGAAAAAATTTCCAAAAAAATTTTTTTTTCAAAAAAAACCTTTTGTTCCAATTTAGCTTCCAACCGCTCTTTCCTTTCCTTTTCTGCAAATTTCCTCAAATTCATCTGTTTACAAACTCCACAATTTGCATCGTATAAATGACTTTGATGTAAATGTGTTGTGTCTTTATTCATATCACCCAAAATGTCGTCGATTGCAGACTTGAATAGAAAAAAGAATTTTTTTCTCAAAACTTTAAAGGAAAAATATTTTTTTAAAGGAAAAGTTGGGAGGGTTTTTCCATTAAGAAGAATTGAAAAAAAATTTTGAAAAAATTGAAAAATATTTTTCACAAGGGTTCAAAGTTCGGCATCCGACTCCCAACATTTCCCCGATATCCCTTGAAAACAAGGGCGTAGCCAGCGGATCGATTTCAGGGGAGTAAAAAAGCGAAAAATTTTTATTTTTCCTATCATCTTTCTCACAATATTTATTCCCTTTTCCCCATAATGGGGAGGGCTATAGCCCCAAAAGCCCCATGGCTACGCCCATGCATGAAAAAGCTAAAAAATTCTTTCAAAATTAAATTTAAAATTAATTTTCAACCTTTGCCTGTACATTACTCAACGGTATCTTTTTGACCATATTGTGTCGACTTGTTGTTGGGCCAATTTTTTTGCGAATTGTAGAAATACTGTCAGCAGAAGTAAATGATTCGTTTATGGCATTTTCTAAAAATAAAAAAAATTTGAGTAAAAAAAATTGAAAAAAAAACCTTCGGGCATTTCGGAGATTAAAGTCAACTCGGCTGCCGCAATGTTAAAACTACTATTTGAGGTTGAAGGAGCAGCAATATCGGTAGAAGAAATAGAAAATGAAGTATTTGCCTGATCCTTTTGAGGCAAAGGAACATTCATTTGGTCACTTGACAAGGTTACCAATTTTTTGACTGAAACTTTGTCTCGAAGAACATCTCGGAAGAAACCCTAAAATTTATTGAAAATATGACATTAAGAAATAATTTATAAAAAAGTTGAATAATTTAAGATATTTTTTCTAAAGATTGTCAAAGCTCAAATGGTCAGTTATTTTACATTAGCACCAGGAAAGGGTAGGGCTATCCAAAATCTGGACTTTTTGAGTAAACTAATCCCGACAATTACACTCTGTCAGAAAATGATAAGCACCCCTTAGTTTTTACGTAAAAAACTTATTTTCGTTTATGTAAAATAATTTAACAATTTTTTTACGAATTTCTAATTCATATTTGAAAGAAAAAACAATCAGATATGAATTATATATGAGTAGAAGGTGGTTATAACTGGTATTTTTTAAAATCGACTGTCAGATAATTATAAGCACCCCTAAGATTTCGACATTAGGGGTCGTCCGAAAAATCTATCGATTTTTCTTGGTGTTGCAAAGTTGAGGTACGGTTCCAACACATTTCTTCATGTTCGAGACCTACTCTGCAACATCAATAAAAATCCAATTTTTTGATTGGACGCATAAAAGTTCATTAAACTAGACGAGCGCGACGATCATCCGCGTCCAACCATCCCTCCATCGTCCATCCTCTTGGTCCAATCCCTAGTTTTTATGAAAGGATTACTCTTTCCCCAAAAATAAATAAAAATAAACAAACATTCATTTCATCATTAATAACAGTAATAAAGCTTTTGAACCATTTCCTATATCTCAAATTAACATCTTGATGAACAGAGAAAAGTGAACGTTCAATTTCCATACCCAAATCCTTGTAACGTTTAAGTGAAAAATTCATATTCGCAGATTTTGAACGTTTTTGAAGGGCTGTTTCAATAGCTTTTCTTACATCAACCCTCATTGATTCAACTTTCTTTTGATAGACTGGATCGTGTAAACGTTGATTTGCTTCTTCTGAAAATTTTTTAAAATTATTGTAATTGACTCCAAAAGAGCATCCAGGAGTTGAATTTTAGGCGAGCTATAATAAAGTGCCAAGGGCGTATCCAGGGCTTTTCTCTACCTAAGAAAAGCTCAATGGCACAAGGTAGGGCCAAGAAAAGTTGGGTCAAATTTTGGATCGAGTATTAAAATTTTTTAAAAGGACCGAGTTACGAGAACCCGAATCATCCTTGGTGTCCACAAATGAGTCTGGCAATTAGTTAAATTTCTCTTTCTGGTCACGCTAATGTCAGAATTTTTTCTAGTTTTGGTTTTAGAGTTGGGTTGGGGAACCGTCAGGGAAAACTTTTTCGAGGAAAGGGACGTCATTTTGAAAAGGACCGGAGTCAGAGGATCAATTATTTTAAAATTCTTACCGATTTGTTCAGAAGCCAAAACTGGTTGATAAGAAGGGTTTGCAAGAAGAAATTCCTCCAAATTTTCAATTGTTGGATTTAAATTGCTGTGATTCATCATAGCACCTTTATGGTCGATAACAAGAATTCGTTCACCTTCTTTCACACACTGAAAGAAATTTCAATTAATTCTGGTTTTTGAGAGTATGTTCAATAAGGCAAAAATTTTAAAAAAATTAGGGGAAAACCCCAAACACTAATTTTGGTATTATCGACTCCCCCATATCATTCCAACTTTGATAATCCCGTTTCTAACCCTGGATTTCGGGAAAGGGATCAACATCAGTACCGAGTTCAAGGGCGGAATTTTAGAAGCCCGTAGGCCAAAAAATTCACTTTTTAGCACCGCAGGCGAAAATTTTGTGGGTTGTGGGCTAAAAATTCACTTTTGTGATCATTTCCCTCTTAAAATTTTTTCACTTCCCAATTTCAGGGGGAGGGGGGCTACAGCCCTTGCCCTGGCTACGCCGTTGACCGAGTTTTATGTAAAATTCCTCATTTGTGCCGCCAAAGCGAAAATTAACCAAACGACAACAACCCTGATTGAGAAATAAAAAAAGAAAACAAACCTTTCTCGCATCCTCAGCCTTTTTAGAAATACATTCTTGAGAGCAAAACAAAGTATCCCGACCTCCAAAACGTTCCTTACTAACAATTAATTCACAAACACAACATTGAACTACTGGTGCAAAGTTTCGCTTTTGTGGAGTTTTAGCTTCATCTCGAACACTTCCAGAATAATTATTTGATGGGGAACGTTTTCTTTTGTGATCAGAAGAAGAAGAATGGTGTTTTTCTTTTTTACGTTCTAAAATTGAAAAGTAAAAAATAATAAGTAAAATGAGCTAGGCTGGATGGGAAATATCCCCTAAGAGGCAAACCTCAAATTTGCCCTATTCGTTAGTAGGGGCATGTCCCCACTTATTAGTAGGCCGCATTTATTAGTAAAGGCAAAGGCCCGTAGCCAGAGGGGATGAACCCCAACTTACCGCAGAGCTATAACTTTGTTCATAACTGTTGAATCCGGGACGACCTGGTATGGTTAGATTCAGATCGTCAAGGCGCATCGGATCATACCAAGGCACCAGGCTCTGCGTTAAGTTCCATATAGCTCTGCGTTAAGTTGGCCTACTCCCGCCAAAAGGTTAGGCCTATAGTTGAGACAAAAATAGTTGCAAATCAGGCCTATAGTTGAGGATCAGGTCCAAGAAAGATCTAAAATGAAAAAGTTTCGGCTTTCCCAGTCCTGTTTGAACTTACTAGAGTCTGATCCTCAACTGACTAGAGTCTGATCAAACTGAGGATCCGGGACGGATCCTCAGTTTGGAGAACGACTGAGGATCCGTCCCGGGCCAGCGGATCCTCTAAATTTATAAATTCCCCATTAATCAATAAAAAAATACTTTTCTTTTCCCGTTCATCTTTATCAGAATCCGAATCATTTCCATAAGTTTCCCTATTTTTTCGTTTTCTTTCTTCATTTTCTGCCATCCTTTTTTCTCTTTGTTCTTTCATTTGCTTCAATTTCAAATCTTTCCTATCCCTTTGGAGAACAGTTTCAAGCTTTTCACACGGAATAAAAACAGCTTTAAATCCATGGCATCGAAGAACCCGTTCATCTTCTTGAGCAAAAAAGTCGGCAATTCGAGCTAATGCTAATCCACTAGCCAAAGTTTGGAGAGGTGCACAGGTAGACATTAAATTGGGGGTGGAAGTTGTGGGGGCATTTTGCTCTTCTTCTTCTTCGTTTTGTGGCCCCTGATCCATCATTTTTTCGTTTTGAGGAGATGAAACTGTTGCGATTTGGTCCATTTCTTCGTGAACAGGAGAGGTTGTTGTAGGTTGCTCTACTTCTTCGTTTTGAATAGAGGAGGTTGTGGGATGATCCAAAATGGAGTCGTTAATTTGCTAAAGAATTTAAGTAAATTTAAGAAAATATTTAAAGAAGTGCCATCTTCCCGCTCAATTTTTAACTACAAGTAAAAAGAGGTACGGCTAGTTTGAATTTCTGTCACCAAAAAATTTAGCAAAGTCTAGCCCTCAATCATTTTTATATAATTCTATTCAAGATTAAAAAGAATTTTGGTAACCCAGACGAGTAAGCTGGGTAGTCTCAAGTATCCGAAACTGAAAAAAATCCCAGGTATCCGAAAATTTTAATGATCGGATCTCGATTCCAGATTCCCAAAGTATTTTCCAGAAACCGCTAACCTCACAAGAGTTGAGCAATTGCCTCTTTGAGGTCACTGGGTAATTAAAAAATATTTTTTGAGAATTCAGGAGGACACCATTTCAATCCTCATATTTCCCTTTAAATCCTTTAAAAAATAAACCGTTTGTTCCTGTTCCAAATTTGTATCAGTAATTTCTTCAGAAACATTATTGTCGTCTAAAGAAGGCGAACTTTCATCAGCAACAATTAAAGTTTCTTGAGGTTCTTCTTCATTCACTTCAACTCTTAATTCTTCCCTCTTTTCCCTCTCTGCTTCTCCAATTTCTTGAGGTTCTTGATCTTCCGTCCCTTGACCCTCTTGCTCTTCCATCCTTTCGGTTTCTTGATTATTTTCAAATTCAACAGGTAAAGTCTCTTGTTCTTCCATTATTTTTCAAGTCTAAAAATAAAATTTAATTAAAAATCAAAAAATAATCGAACAAGTTTTTGCGGACAATTAATGCGGACAAAATGCAAAGATGTTTATAAACGTATTGGAAGGATGACTCGAACAATTATCAATCCACTCAGGCAAATTTTCTTCAGAGACAAAAAATGTCCGCAAAAGTTGTCCGCAAAAATAGTCCGCAAAGTTGTCCGCAAAAATAGTCCGCAAAAAGTTGTCCGCAAAAGTAAAATTACACGAGTCTAAAATTTTTTTCTAATTTTTGTGCAAATCCATTAATAGGGCAAAAAAGCCTTAAAAAAGCCTTTAAGGTTAACCTAACTGTCCAGAAAAAATTAAATCTTTTATTCCCATTCCGATTCTATCAACCTCACTTATATTTAATGTTAACCAACTTTCCCCCATAAACATCTGATTTCCCCTTTAGTCAAGGAAAAATTTTTCTGATTAAAAAGGAAAATCCCTAATCAAATCCTAAAAAATAAACAATCAATTAGCTTTTCCTAAGTATTTTTGTGTCTGCCATGCTATTTCTCAAGCAGACAATTCAGTATCAACGATTCAGTCTCGAGGGCATATTTTGGGTCATAACTTTTTTGGTTCTCAACCAATTTAAATAATTTTTATATCATTTGAAAGCTCTGAATGTGAGGATTATTTTAGCTAACAAGATTATTTTTATCGGACCATCCAACAAAAAGTTACAGCCTGACAAGTGCGCTCAATCGTGATTTTTGCTTTTTATTCGGCTGTAACTTTTTGTAGAATGGTCTGATCAAATCAATCCTGTTGGCTAAAATAATCCTCAAATCCAGAGCTTTCGATTGATATAATATTTGTTTAAATCGGTTGAGAAACAAAAAATGTTATGACCCAAAATATGGCCTGATACTGAATCGTTTATACTCAATTGTCCTTTACAGTTTATTTTTAGAAAGCGCGGAAATTTAAAAAAGTTATGTTCAAATTTTTATATGGACGGTTCAGGGATTATGTACCAATGTCATTATTGGACCACAACTTTCTTGGATTTAAACCTTTCGGAATGATTTTTATATCAATCGAGAGCCCTTTATGCGCTCCTTATTTTTACCAATGGGACGGATAAAATCCGACCAATTTTTAAAATGTTGTGCCCCATACTGCGACGTACCCTCTCAAAATCTTGTCTCTGAAACTAATTGCCGGGGCCACAGCCATTGTAAAGCATATAGCTATTTAATCCCTAAGGCTTTGCATTAGGTGGCGTGGTGTAATGGCTAACACATCAGTCCGGTCTACCGAAGATGCTGGTTCGCTCCCAGCCGTCAATTAACCTTTTGCACTAGCTAAAGTAGAGAAATAGCCAGGCCCAGCTGCTTTACTCCATCATTAGCATTATTGTACTAGTAAAGCAGATATGTATCTAATTTCTAAAAACATACAGGAGTCGCTGTGGTGTGATGGATCTATCAGTTCTGTAACTGAAGATGCCAGCCAGCTACCTGAGTCCTAAATTAAGAACTCTGTTGCTGGTAGGTGACCATCAAACGCCGGCGGTTTTTACGGATAAAATAAGACGGCCCTACGGTTACATGACCTTTTGGTTATCTAACAATGGCTAGGTGATCATGGTCATGTAACCATCGTCAGGTGACCGAGTTCTTATTTTACGGACCCATACCTATAGTAATAGCAAAAGGAGAAATATCCTTTAATAACTACCCAGGGTAATTATTGCTTCGACCTTCCGCTGGAGGGAGTAGTTAATCGAAGGAGGGTAATTTTATGAGGTTTGAAATTTGTACGTGTTTTAGTGTATTTGATGGGGGGTAATTATTGTTTCAATCCACCGCTGTGTGGGGTAGCTAATGGAAGTGGAGTAATTATTTGAAGGAGGGCAATTAATGGAGGTTATACGGTAGCCTAGTTCAGCTTTATTTTATTCAGCTTTATTATATTTTCATCATTTTTCAGTCATTTTTTCATTTTTTTGTCTCTTTCATTTTGCACTTAATCTGTTAAAAATATTACACTTTTTTAGTTTAATAAATTTATCACAAAAAATATGATTAATTAACTTAAACATTAAATATCCCCCCTTAACCAATTCTCTCTCTCAATAAATTAAAATTAATTTTTTTTATATTTGCGCATTTTTATTTATTACATTAATTATCATCAAAAATTTTAACAAAATTTAAACAAAATTTTAAGAAAATTTTTGAACTATCATTTTTTATTCCTAGAAAGTAACATGTCTTGTTATATGTGCCTGATTTTAATATCATCCAAATAGGGGTCCCAAAATGGTCTGACTCGGTCCGAAAAATCGGTTCAAGCATTAGGATATTTGACCTGAAAATGACTTGTATGACCCTGTCCAATTAAAACAAGCCCGAAAAACGTCAGCCCGGCTCGAAAACGGCAACCCTAATCCTAAAGCTGGCCATTAGATGAAGCTATGACATGAATGGCATTATATACCCTAATGTGGGCATATTCGAAGTCAAATGATTTTTAATCAAATAATTAGGATTTTAATCCTGTTACGGGCAAACTAAAAATAATTGTTTTTAAGAACAAATAATTGTTTTTAGTAGTAAGTCCCCCACAAATGTATCACTCGAGGGGTCCATTGAAAAAGCCTGTGCCTGAGGTGCGGTATTTTTTCTTTGAAGATGCCGCCAAATCAGTACCTAGAGGTCACTTTTTTGCGCGAAAAGTTAAATTTTGGAGCAAAACCCCTCCCTTTGGGAGGGGTTTGGATTAATTTTGCGCGAAAAAACAATGTTTTGGCGCAAAACCCCTCTTCTTCGGGAAGGTTTTGATCTTTGCCACAAACCCTTCCCTTTGGGAAGGGTTTGAGTGTAATTAATCATGAATGATTAATTGTTTTGATTAATTAGGGTAATTAATCATTAGTGATTAATTACTCCTTTTTAATTACTTCGCGACGAAGTGACCTGCTACTAAATGTTAATGACGAGGGCCTGCAACCTAGTGGCGCGACTAAGTGGCCCGCGATAAAGTGTCTAATAAACGGTAAAAATTTTTTTTTGACACGAAATTATATAATGTAAAATTGATTAGGTATATATAAATATATTTCTAAAAGCGCGCGGTCATAACAACTTTTTTTCTTTACTATTTTGGAGTGGTCACCCTTAAGTTTAATTTTCTGATTTTTTATTTTAGAAAATTTTTTCTTTAACGGAATTTATGACTGAAGACAAACAACTTTTCATATTCGGATTATTTAAAAGATAAATAAATTTTTAAAAAATGAAAACAAATTATCTAATTAATTTGCAAAATTTCCTTTTCTTCTATTGTTTCTTCTTTACATTCGTCTGACATTTTCTTGTCCTCTTGCTCTTCTATAAATTCTTCTGACTTTTTCTTGTCATCCTGCTCTTCTATATTTCCGGCTGACTTTTTGTCATCTTCCTTTTCTATTATATTTTCACTTTCGTTCGACTTTGTTTTGTTATCTTCTTTTACGATACCTTCATTGGAATTTCTCTGGATTTTCCTTTCTTCTAATTTTAATCTTTTTTCAGGTGGAAATTCCAAATATTCGTCAATAATTGATTGTGATCGGAATAAGGAATTTCCGGTTGCGCATTGTAAATTGAAAAAGTCATCGTTGATTGATTGAGTCCGGAATAGATTTTTTTCTTTGTCGACTTGTATACTGAAAACCTTTCTACGTGTTTTGAATCGAAAAACGTTGGTCTTTCCAAATCTCTCGATTATATCAAAAGCGACAAATTTTTCTTTCTTAAGTCTATTACTGATAATATGAATTCCTTCTAAGGTAATTACATAATCAATTTCCACGTCATCTGCTCGGCAGGTTGTACATTTTCCAGAAATATAAAAGGGAACAAAACGTGGAGTATTTAATTTAGGGGATGATATTGTTAATCCATTTGCAGTAGCAGAAAAAGAGACAATTGGGATAAGCTCTTTCATTATTCAATTTATTTAAAATTAATTTTAAAATAATTTATTGCAAAATAAAGAAATTTTTAAAATGACAATAGTTTACAAAATATGCCCCCTTTTATATTGCTTCATTTCACCTTTAAAAACTTTTTTATAGAATTTTTGAATTTTTTTTTTGAATTTTTTTGGAAGTTTTTTGTGAAAAAATATATTGTTAAATTAATTTTAAACCTTTGAAAAAATATTTTGAATATTGGATATTTCTAATTTTTTTAAAAAATAGGGGGCGTTCCTAGGCGTCTTTCAGAAAATGATCAGACCTATCATTTTCCGCAATTATTTAAAAAATTTTTAAATAAAATTTATTTTGATGAATTTTATTTTAAATAAATATTTGTAATTTTTTATCCCCACAAATGTATCACTCGAGGGGCCATTGAAATAGACAGTGTCTGATGTGCGGTAAATATCCGGGACCCCCGAAAAATATATAAACCCCTCCCGAAGAAGAGGGGTTTTGCACCAAAACATTGTTTTTTCGCGCAAAATTAATCCAAACCCCTCCCAAAGGGAGGGGTTTTGCTCCAAAATTTAACTTTTCGCGCAAAAAAGTGACCTCTAGGTACTGATTTGGCGGCATCTTCAAAGAAAAAATACCGCACCTCAGGCACAGACTTTTTCAATGGACCCCTCGATTGATACATTTGTGGGGGACTTACTACTGTTTTTTAAAAACAAAAAATTAATTAATATCCGCATCATTTCCAAAACCACTCTACTACCTACTAATTTTCATCATTTTTCTCTCTCTCTCATTAAAATAAAAAATAGGAAAAAAATCCACTCAACACATAAAGCAGAAAATTAAAAAAAAACACATTAAAATATATCGCCACTTCCGTTCGCGAATACACTAATATATAATTAATATTTACTAAAATTTATGTGCGCTATCTATACCTTCCATTATTCTGCAAATATCAGAATAATTATTTAATTCTGATTTTTTATTTGTCTTGTATTTTTGTGTTTCATATAAATTCTGATTTTTT